TAATTATCGTGTGACACCACTCGTCGCCCCAACAGACCGCCGCTACCGCAGCACAGAGATTGTCCACGTTTGTTGCATGAAACCTTTCACGCGACGTTCCCCGTCACTTTGACTTACGGCGGCCAGGGTGTCCGCTTCCAAGTGGGGGGAATTAGTGTGGGCATTTGTAACTTACATCGTCCTCATCCCTGCATAATCACAATCACCATCATCCGCTTGTCTCTTTGCCCTCATTGCCACTCTGGGTCATCATCATCGTCATCGTCTGTGTGCTGGCTCTGCCCGTTCGTTTTGCGAGGTCTTTCCTCAAATAAACGCTGTCGCAGCTAAGACTACCAAGACTTCATAATATATATATACACAGTGTAGACCACTTATAACATAACCGCTTATAGTGCAGAACCGTTTACAATGCGGTCTTTTTCTACTCCCGTTTACCCTCCCATATAACCCCATGTATACGCATACCGCTTATTGTGCCGTTTCCCAAGATGAAAGACCGGTTGTAATGCGGTTGCCAGAAATTGTGACATGTGCGGTAGCGAGTGCGCTTCCATAAGGTGACGCACTGGGAGCGCCGCTGAGAAGTGAACGACGAGGTCGTTACGGAGAAGGAGGGGACACGGAGTGAACAAACGAAGGGCGGAGGAAAGGAAAAAAGGAAAATGAAAAAAGACAGTGGGAAACTGCGTGGGCTCGCCGAGTAAGGGAGGAGGACGGTTGGCTCAGTGACCAATAAGCTTTTGCACCGGCGTCGATGGGGCTACAGCGTACTACAGGCACTGCACCATTCTCAAAACCAGGCTGCAGAAGTTAGGTGCCTTCTTCCTCTTCTAACCACTACCAACATGTCGCTAGCGTGGCTTCGGCCGCACTTTAACAGTTTCTCGTCGGAAAAGACGTTATCGAGCTTGCAACAAATATCGCGATTGCTGTCTTGTCCGTAAATTGAAAACCTTTTACGGTTTTATGATGCGAGCTTTCACTTTTGCTGCCAGTGCGCTGTTGTAGGTAAGCTAGCTTGGCGAGTTGTCGTCGTTGCTGATCAGCCAGCCATGAAGACGAACTTCGTATCACACACGCTGTTCTTGGTTCACTGCTAGCACGATCTTTTTGATGCAAAATCTTCATGTTTCGAACAAACTTTCTGTGACAACATACCAAACGGCAAACTAGGCCTAATCGGTGTTGGTTGCGCTTCGATCGGCAATGGTCGCCTGAATCTAAGTTGCGGTTTGGTACCGAATCAATGAAACTTTTTGGGGTGGCCTCACTTGACGGCAAGAGATACATATCGTTAATAAAAAAGAGAACGGCACGTGTAGCACTCAAACGGTGGTTCGCGATTCGGTTTCAATGTCTTAAATTGGGTGCGCACCCGTGAAATCGAATGGTTGGCATCTATCAATGCATCAAATTCTGGACGCGATTCGACTAAGTTTCTGTGTAATGTGCATAATCGAGGCTGTCTGGTAGTCGGCGAATTTCCGCGATAGTGCTTTAATTTGTTAGAACCCCCACCCTTTCGCATTCATTTCGTTGGCAACGCGTGTCTCTGGACATTACATTCTTTTAACATTCAGAAATTTAAATGTTAGCAAGCACGCATCGCATGTTCCGATTCTCGGACACGTGAAGCTGCATGCTCAACACGTTTTGCGCAAATGCGGCCCTTGAAAAAGGTTGGTTTAGTTATAGTGCGCTACCGCTTATAGTTCGGATATTTGCAACTCCCGTGACTTCGTTATAAGCGGTCTATACTGTATATTGCTGACTGATCAGGGTAAAAAAGAGATCCGCTATTGGTTGTGCTGGAAAAAATGTTGAAGCGCAGTAAACTAATAATGACGAAAAAGTGGAGTGCCATGCTCCTCCCCTGTCGTTTTTTTTCTTTAATTTCGCCATGAATTACCCAAAAGGGATTAAAGCTACATACCTCACATTTGTTTAGCTAAATATAGGTGTACTTGCACTTACGATCAATAATGTTTCTATTCTCTGCGTACGGTACATTTTTATAAAAACTAGCTAAAATATACCCTAAGAGTGTTTTTTTTTCCAAATTTACTTCAAAAAGGGCCTATGAAAAAGCGGTGAAATTGCGTATTACAGTCAAATCTCATTCATTCAAACACGCTTAATTCAAACTTCTGGTTAATTCGAATGCACGATGAGGTCCCGTTGAAGCTATGTGTATTCCAATGGGCGAAAACTCTCGGTAATTTGAATGCGCAAGCACTTGCGACGATTAATTCGAACATACCGCGCTTCGAAAATGCTCTCAGCACCTCGCCCGATCCCGCAATGGCACCTGCGACACCTCAACGCTGCGCGTGAAGGAGATAAAAAGGAAAGAAAAGGCTGCAGTCGAATGTTTGCTCTCTCTCAAATCCCAATCTGCGACGCACCCGTGTCACACTTCTCCCTTTTTCGTCCCTGCCACGTAAAGACCCTTCTCCTTCGAATGCAGCGTGCGAAGAGAGAGAGGGAAAAAACAAAATCTGTCACTGGGTTGAATGAATGTGTGGTTGAAGGAAAGGAAAAAGGCAATATCTCTGCAGCCCTTGCCCCTTGTGGGAGCACGGCTCTGCGCCTTGAAGGGGGGTCTTTCACGCGCCGGTGCCAGGCTTCCCCCTTTCCCGTCCCTGCCACGTAACCCTTCTCCTTTCAACAATCCGCGCGAAGAGAGCAAAAAAAAAAAAGAGCTGCCGTGGAGTGTTGGGTTTTTCTCAAATGCCAATCTGCTTCTCTCCGCGTGGAGACGCTCCTCCTTTCTCGTTACGTGCTGGCCATGCTGCGGCTGCGTAGCGGAGAGCGGGAGGCTCCGCTATGCAGTGATCGTTGTTGTATTTAGAAAGTGTCGGCGCTGGACATTTCCGCGTGCAACCTCTCTTGCCAGGAGAATGCTGAAGCCGAAGTAGAAATGCTTTGCAAGCTGCGTGCGAAATTGACTGACTCGCTGCAAGGCAAACGTGTCCAGACGCGTATCACCAATTACTTCAATCAATAACGAATGTCCTGTGATTTGTGAATAAATGTATGTCTTCTGAAACTTCCCCCTCGTGTGTTAGCTAAATGCACATGCGCCACTGCATGGAGAGCCCTCCATTTATTTAGCTTTCATTAATTCAAACTTCTTTTAATTCTAACAAATTTTTGGGCCCCTTCGAGTTCGAATTATCGAGATTTGACTGTACTTTACCAGCCTGCTTATTTATGAAACTGTCAAAGCTTGTCTGACATCTCCTGAAAAAGGGAGGGGGCGCTTTTTTCGACATTTTATGGCAATTATTTTTATTACTGCACTGCAAACTTAATTTGGGTGTTTTACCAAGCAGCAAGCAGAATGTTCGGTACTGAATACTCAATGAACACCCACATAATGACAATTGTTTTCCCAATCACCTTGGCAGAACAGTACATGCAAGTGAATATGAATGTGCAAACAGTAGAAGAAATAAAGCAGAGTTAAAAGTAAGGCTAAAATCAAGAGCTTATTTTGACTGAGGTTCATCAAAGACATATTGCACTTCCCATACTGCAAAAGAACAGCTCAGAACCCTACGTAATGTATGAGATACAAAAGAAGGACAACTGAGAAAGCACTTGTGCTAACAAATATAATTTCAAGAGCTTTTTAAATATAAATAGCAGAAAGAAAGTAACAGCACACAAAGATATAATCCGATATGCTTGTTCTGTTAGGTATAGCATTGGTACCGGTAGCGCGATAGTTACGTACTGAAGAGCGGCAGCAGAGAATCTGTGTGGTTATCTCCGCACGCATTGTGGTACACGGTGCTGGCAAATGCCTAAGAATAAGTGTTATGGCGCTGACACAAATAAAAAATGGAAAAAATTGAGAAAGCCATAAGGCACGTGGGCAAGCATGCGAACACAATTTCTGTAGAGAATGCACAAGTTCTGTCACTTTTCATTGTTTCACCAAGAAGGATGCGCACACCTCATCGCCTGCCCTCACTGGTGGAGTCTGATGGAAAGAAAATTAAGTAACTGCCCCTAGTTTTATTCAGGTGGCTTAGTGGCACAAGTGCCAGCCTAAGAAAAGGAGTTCAGTTTCACACGGCAGCAAAGGAGATTAATGTTTCCCACAGCAGCATTGTGATCGCAGTATAAGAGATTGATTGATATGTAAGGTTTAACGTCCCGAAAAACAAATGTAAGAGAAATGCAGATACTCGTCAAGACGCATCGAGCTACAGATACAAAATACCCAAAGAGTGTCTAAGATATGCGTATTTTCAATACTGCCCAGTCCTGGCTGCATGTGCTAATGTGTGCATACAGAACTCACTTTTTCCAAATTTCATTTGGCTATTGCCACTTCCCTCTCATGCCCAATGTCAAGTAGCAGACTGAATGCTTGTGTGGTTGACCTCCCCATCATTCCTCTATATCCTTTCGATCCCCCTTCCACTTTCTCATAGTCAGTTTTCGACATGTGGGTCAATCCCAAAGATTGGCAATAGCATTCTGGGCTGATCCCACACAATCACCAGTGAACAGTACCTGCCCTACAAAGGTCAACATGGTTTACAACATGACCCGATGCTACAGGCACCACAATATCAAGAATCTTGATACTGCTATTGCATTACAGGTGCTTGGGTGTAATCTAACAGTGGACTTAAATTTAGGTTCTTTGCCTTTTCCTCCAGGCTGTTTATCAGTGTTTCACCAAGCAGCCATAGCAAGGGGTTTACCATGAAGGTGTGACAGAGAGAAGAGCCAAAAATGCGTGCACAGAACAATTGACATAATCAATAGACATCTTGCCAGATAAGTTAACAAGGAAATAATTAGCCAAAACAGGGAAATTTACAAAGTTCTCCAACAGAAGCTGTTAACCCATTTATACATAATTGAGAGTTTTTAGGATGCTTCAAGCATACATTTTTTATGATGGAACAAAACACGAAATCTTTTTTCTGGGAGAAAATGCTTGTCGATGCAAAAAGAAGTGAAGTATACAGACTTACTGTGTTTGACATCAGGGTGGAGATGGAACGACCAACCTCATGGTAGTCCAGGTCATCAGTATTTGATGGACCTAGCAAAATGAAGAAAAATCTCACAGGAATAGGAACCTGCAAGAAAAATTCACATATAAAATTGAGCGGAATAATTGGGTACAAAAACAATTTTTTTACAGAAGTACTACTACTACTACTACTACTACTACTACTACTACTACTACTACTACGACTACTACTACTACTACTACTACTACTACTACGACGACTACTACTACTACTACTACTACTAATAATAATAATAATAAATAATAATAATAATAATAATAATAATAATAAATAATAATAATAATAATAATAATAAACTATTTTTATTGACAATAAAAAAGGTGAAAATATTATGGCAGTGGTAAATTTCATATCACAAGAACAGATAAAAATGGGACAGAGACTAGACGAAAAGAGCCCACAGTATTTGCACCACAGTTTCACTCAACAGGTGAATCGCCTGGCAAAAGCCAGATATCCTGCACACCTTCTTTTGGAGGCCGAAAAATTTCTAAGCGAAGTGAGAGGACAAGCCTGAAGAATGTAACAGTTTTGAAAAGAGCCAGCCAGTCATTCTACCTTATGTGCGTGCACAGTGTTTTGCACAGGTTAAACAAGATTGGCCAAGCCGCCATCGCTCATGTGGTGTTATCAGCACCCGTCAAACTGCAGAGACTATGCAAGCGAGTAAATGCTACAGCTCAAACCAGCTCTGCCTCTTACTCTGTTGTGCACAGGTCACGGTACATCCCCTGAGAAGTCGGCGTCATCAACGAGATCCCACTGATGCGTGGAAAGGCTTATGTCGATCAGACCGGCAGGTGCATTAACAACCGCCTGTGTAAGCACCAGAATATTGTGCACAATGTGGTGCAGGGGCACCTTGGTATCCGTTGATGGGACTGTGATTGGAGCCCTCTCCAAGTGATAATGATATACGAGGTTTAACGTCTCAAAACCACCATATGATTATGAGAGACGCCGTAGTGGAGGGCTCCAGACATTTCGGCCACCTGGGATTCTTTAACATGCCCTAAAATCCCCAAGTAACCACAGATATCTGCTGGCTGTCCATTCTGAATACATATGTCCGGCCGTATGGGTATCCAACATGAATAGCCAATGGACGTACGGTGAAAGTTCATGGCTAAATTTTGAATGATGACTGGCTGTCCATATAGTGACATGCCAAGGATATGTGCATTTGCTCATGAAATATTGTAAAATTAGAATGTAGTAAAAACATACAGAGATCAGCAGAATCCCGGGTAATAATCTTGTAAAATTTAATTAAAAAGGCTACTATAAAATTCATTCAGATTTTGGCACAAGCCTTTGATACCAGGATGCCAAATAATTTTGCTTCCCGAGGCAAAACAATCTGGTTGATTCAATATGTGTATCGTATGTCATAAGAAAGAATGTACTTAGCGTTATTAATATTGCATGTGAACTAAAAAAAATTGGGATCTAGCACGTCACAGCAGTCACCATGTAGGCAAACTTCCATGCGCCAACTTCGACACTACTCAACAAGCGGTGCATCGCAATTGCTCAGATTCCTCGAACGTACACATCATGCTAGCCGTGCCCCTCTGGATGTTTTGGGAGAAAACACGCGCCATTGTGCCTATTGTCCCGAAGCCTGCTTGACCAGCGGCGCGCAATAAGGGAAGGGGCACGAGAAAGGAGGATGTTTGTGTCGCGCTGACATGAAGGCTGAGCCAGTCTCCGAGCAGCTGAGCCGGTCCCCACGGGGCAGAAGGCAGATACTTTTTTTCAAGTGTGCCCGTGTGGACATCAACAGCAACATGTGAAGTTACAAAGGATGACTTTTCTACAAGAAAGACCAAAACGCGGCACCAGCTCACCACTGTTTTTGGCAGAGATTACCACAGCAAGCAGCAGCGACCCCGTTTACTCGCATAACACAGATAAGGCCACGTGTTACATGTCTATTTTATGTCTCATATTGGACATTTATCTGTTCTTGGCATGCGTTAACTATTGTCCATCATTTGTATAAGCCCTGCTAATACGTGGAATGTTTTGAGCTCTTCATTTGCTCGCATATTTCTTGCTATTAATGTATTTAAGACGAGAACGTGGTCAGTGCCTGTATACCTTTTTTAGAAGCATGTACTACACCCATTAGTTTTTCTTATGTGTTTGTCTGTATGTACATATTGCGGTTGCTAGAATAACATTGCCATAAATAAGTGCAAGTTGGGTTTGTTGCTAATAAATTAATTTAATAAACCCGTCAAGAAGCAATTGCTGCCGCCTAAGAAGTCATCACACTTGAAGGCGGAAAGGCATTGAACACTGAAATCTTGTAAGACTACGTACACACTTTCACAATCGCGGCTGCAGACTGTGAGTTATGTGCTTCTTAGCCTTGATATATGCTGATAATAAAGGTTCAATTGTTCTTGAAAGCCTGCTTAGATTTCATTTTTTTTTTTTTTTTTTCAAAATTCATTTCCAGCAGAAAAGCTCCCGCGGGAAAAAGACGGGCCTCCGAGTAGGCTGTGTGGGTACGTTTTTCACATGAAAGGTTTTTCTTGAACATACACTAGCTATATACACACAAAAATTTCATATATATATATATTTTTTGAAGGGCCCGTTAATGTCCATGTTGGATGTCTTGAAGGGATGTCGAGCGAACGTACAAATTTGTTACCTTTGTACTTGTGATGGACGTACAGTGTACTTTCGCAAACATGTGGTGAATGTCCGGAATATCCGAAATGTACGTCCCTTCCTATACCGCATATTCGTGGTTACTTGGGTCTGAGCACATGGGCCTTCATCATTTTAACCTCCATCAAAAATGCAACTGCCGCAGCCGAGATTCGATCCCGCAATGTGCGGGTTAGCAACCGAGTACCTTAGCCACTAGACCACCGGGGTGGGACGCCCTCTCTTCAATCAGTGTGCAATAGTGGCAAGGCATAGGTTCCAGCTAACCCATTAGATTATATAAGTGGAACAAATACACAAATTAGGTGGCAGCTGCATTCCTGGCATTGTCACGGTTTGAGCGTGATTGCCTGGCTGGGCTGTAGGACAATTCGTGAACACAGGTTGTGACTTGACTGTTGATGTATTGATTGGGCTTGTCTTTATCCTTATCTGTATGTATACATTCTGCCATTTTGTAAAATAAACACCAGCTGGAAGTCAGTGCTCTTTTACACTCTGTCCTGCTTTTTTTCTATGTTCTCGTGCTGTGAAATTTGCCATGGTGAACCCACACCAACAAGCCCGAGCTTCTACACTTCTAAATACTAATATAATGTATTATAACTTCATTGATTCCAGCATCTAGATCCTCAGCCAATTTGCTTAGCAATGGATCCATCAAATTATATGGATCTTAAGAAGCAATGGAAGCAAAAAGGCATACCAGTGTCACAATAATGCATTGTAGATAATGTTCATATGGTGAATACACAGGCTATGTTTAAACACGACCTAATGTTGAAGCACTGGCACATAATGTTACTAATATAAGCAATTTTTTTTCACTGTAGTGTTTCAAAATGTTGCATAATTTCTGGCAGTGTTCTGTGTTACGAGACGTCACACACCAGCAAACAGGACCGAGGACTGGGAAGACACCGTCTCTAGTACTGCACTGAATATCCAGCCAACAACCATCCAGAGGGCCCGTGAAGGAGCAGGGAGGCGTGGCCTCTCGGTTCCAACATGGAAGCAGCCAGCAACGAGCTGAGAGCACCAGCAGGTCCTTCCTGGCTAGTCCCTTAAGACTTTCTTTGTTTGTCAGTCTGTCTGGAGCATTTTATTCCCAGAATTTGTTATTCCAGACTTTGAAACCCGTAAAAAATATTGTGATGTAATGGTTCTCTTTAAACATATTAAGTTCATTGCAATCTGTATATCATGTCAGGTTTGATCGAAAGAAAAAGGAACATAGAGGAAGGTTATGCTGTCGACCAGAATTGCACTTTTATAATTGTTAACCAGAAAAAAAAATGATGCTTAACTGCTTAAACACTGTTGCCAATGAGACATTTGCAGGTTCAACTTTTATCATCCTTACCGCTAATTTTTTGCAAAATACTTATGGAAGTGTTTAGCAATGGGCATGTGAAACCCCACAATTTTTTCGAAGTTACATGGCAATAAAAATGCTCATATAATTAGTCATAGTAGTACTTCATTACTATAACACCCTCAGGTACAAATCAGTGCCTATACTTTTACAGAAATGATTACAGTGCTCTGTGCAAAGTACAATAAAGTACTTATTTCAAGTATTTATATGCATACATATGCTCTAAGACTACTCTATTAACCCTCCGAGTGTTTTTGCCCTACATGTTATTATGCCTGCGAGTCCACACCGAACGTCCATGCCTCTGAGAAAGGCAATCCGTGTCAAGGCCAGCACGCGAGCCCGCCTGACGCGAACAACTCAACGGCGTCATCACGCGGCGGTGCCTTTCTGTCGCGCACGCACAGCGAGCCCGTCGAAGCAATCGGCGCCATCCTGTCTGGCGAGTCTGATGCAATGCGTGGTGACGTCACTCGTCTTTGGGTGCAACCACGTACAGCGCAGCGGCTCCAGATTTGATGAGAATGACGCGGCGCAGCGGCGACCCCATTGAAGGATTCTGACCTCACGGCAAGCAGCGCTTCTGGTTGGACATTTGGTTACTCAAAGAATCCTCCTGGTGCATATAAAAGAAGCCCTGCGGCGCGTCGCGAGAGTAGATCTATGTGTCAGAAAAGAGAGCTCGGCTCCTCGAGTCTCTAAGCTGTCGGCTCCAGTGCCGAATTTGTAACGCCTCTATATATATGCTGTACATAAACCTTGTTTAACTCACCGGCGTCTCGTCCGCTCGTCTATCAGCTCTGCGCAGAAGCAGTCACGAGCTGAGAAACCTACGCTACCAAACGGCTGGTGACCTTCCCGGCGGAGTTCGAAGCAGTGGCACTTTCGGGACAGTGTTGGCATCGCCGTCTTTCGCAACAGTGGTGGCAACGGTGAAAATTCGTGGCGCCCTTCGTAACGTCTTCGGAGGTGCGCTTCGTAACAGTGGTTGCAGCGGTGGGATTCGTGGCGCCCTTCGTAACGTTGTCGGAGGTGCGCTTCGTAACAATGTATAACGATGGTTTTTTGTCCCACAATGTTTTTGCTGTGAGCGTACATATTTTACCCTCTGCTTCAAATTTTGCACCGTGACTACAATGCATGCTCACTGTAAGGTGCTGTCATCTCTAAATATGTACTTAAATAAGCATTGCAAATTATTATGACACCTTCTTACGGAGATAGACAGAACTGATTTCTAGCGTGAGCATGTCGCGTGGTCTGGAGAAACACCGATGGGCAACACCATTTCATGGTTTCAGTTTAATTACATTATTGCAAGGGAGGTGTGCAAAACATGAATGTTATCTCCATCAGCACTTCCTTACAGGGAGGGTGGAAGTTCATTTGCATCATTATTTGCAGTGCTCTTTGTTTATCACCGACACTCATGAGATAATCTCGTATTCCTTGATTACCCAGTTCACTCTGCCCAAGGCAGCTACACACAGAGATGCCATGTGTCTCTCAGCGATACTCATCCCTCCAACAAGAAAACTGAGGTGCGTGTTATTTGCACAGACGGCAATTAGGTAAAGAGCATAAATTCATGTTTCAAGGAATACCATGCTCTGAAATATACTATCGAATGGTTTTCAATTATAAATACTACTGACCACCCCAAAAAATTGAATTTTTTTTAGAATTTTTTTCCCGACTTTTTACATTTTGTACATTCAAATATTATAATGAAGTTATTTGACCATCTGGGAAAATTTTTCTAGAAACAATTCAACGCTCAAAGGGTTAAGGAATACACTGCAGCTATATGTAACCAAGTTTGGAATGTGATGCGAAAAACAATATTTTTGTTACTAGAACTTGAAGGGAATCCAAGCGAATCGGCCATTAACATAGTGCAAAACGTACTGGTCACTTAAACATCTTGGTTGCGTTCTCTAATGTGCATGTGTTTCTTAAAGTGCATGTGTTTTTTCATTACATGTCAAATGATGCGATACATATATCAAGATTTCACAAGTGAAAATCTAATCATAGCAGAGACAAACAACAACCAAAAAAAAAACTGACGAGTCTAGTAACTTATGTGAGGCAGATGCTACACAGAGTTGCGCAGTGCAAGTTGAAAAAAACAGCATGGTAATGTGAACAGGTGACTAAAACATATCCAATCACCTACCTCCATTAAATTAGGCATCACTTGACCCTGTGCCAATCTGACAAAGGCAATGGTGGGCTGCTCCAAAAAATCCAAGCCTCCCACCAACACGGCGGTCGCTTCCGCATCTTCGGGTATTCTTCGAAGGATATTGGCATCAGGCTTGCGCAAATCATCCGTGGAACACCCAGGAAGAAACGGCTCAGTCTCGTCGCGTGTCTGCAATAAAGTACACGGGAGGCATAAACTAAAAGTTCCACCTGTATTATCCACCTTAAATTTTTAATGGAAGACTATGTACCCCTTTGTCAATAGAGATGCGTGTGTCTGCCGTAAGCAAAGGCATGCTTCGGTTGCCAGCATTTCCATTCACATGGTCCTGTGACGAAGATGTAAAGTTGCTAACAAGCGACGCTGACCGCAGTGACCTGGAAAAAGGGCAGCCAAAGCATTGAACCTTTTACAAGAAGGTCTTGTGGATGCAGGTGCATCTCTAATGTTCATTGTTGAGCCAGTTATGTGACAAAGCAATTAGCCTTGTAAAAAAGCAAGGCAGTAGCCGGTTCCACAGCTAACAAGTAATTTCACGCAGCACTCGTTCACTCTCGACACATGTAAAAGACGCTCGCATGTATCAAGCCATGGTCGTAACCAAGCCTCCCCCCGACTTTTTTTCTACCGTACATGAAGTATGATTAAACCCCACGCAAAAAAAATTTCTGGCTATGCTGGTGCATCAAGCAACGCTTCTATTAACACCCACAGTTGGTTTGTAATGTAAGTAATGTACTTGCACACTCATACTAATTGTGGATTGCACTGCATACATTCAATTCTAAAGAACAAAAGAGTAAACGAAAAAATGCAGAGTGTGAAATACATCGTTTCTTTAGAACAACTGCCATCAGACGTGCACTACTAGAAGGGAAGCTTCACAAAAACACAGGACAGAGGTCAGAGGCCCTGTGTTTTAGCGAAGTCTCTGTTATAGTAGTACTTTTCCCACGGCTGGAGCATCACGTTTGTTAGTGATGCTCCACCCATGTGCAGATCCAATAGAATTTAGTACATTGATTCTAAAATCATACAAAAGAGGGTACTGACTCTATGAACAAGTGATAAATAATACAATAATTAAGGTGTTCATAGTCGACCAAAATATTTAGAAACCAAATGGCATAATGCCAAGATTGTGCGTTCGTACTCCTTTGGGAGCAAATTTGTTTTTTTAAATATTTTATTTCTCTTCATCACGTTACTACACACTACAATTAAAAGCTACAAATAAAGCACCCTATCCTTGGCTTCACTCTCTCTTGACTTCATATAATTAGGTCTAAAAAAAAGGTCCCTCAATCAATTCCCTTCTTATTTATTTATTTTTACATACTGCAGTCTTAATAAGGCTATTGCAAGAGTGAGAAAAAGAAGAAATCAACATTCATCAACAGTTTTCCAGAAATTCTTGAAGGGGTAGAGAACGAACACTTCCGGGCAGTAAATTCCAGGCTTCTATAGTTGAAGAGAAAACTCTGTATTTGAACATGTCAGCGTGGATGAAAAAAGTTGCAATTTTAAGGGCACGGTCACTTCTCGTAGATGAAGATTTAGAAAATTTTAGATATAATTCGAGGGTGCTGAAGCGAGGAGAATTGATTAAAATGTGCAGAAATTATAGGCATTCAACATGGCAACTCTTCGCAAGTGTAGCGAAACCTAGCTAAGGAAGGAAATTCGTTGGAGAAAAATCCTTGTAATATCTCTTGCATACAAAGTGCACAGCTCTTTTTTGAATGGCTTTTAGTTTCTTAATGTCACATTTCTTATGGTAATTCCAAACCACGCTATCATATTCATGAATGCTTCGAATAAGTGTTTTGTAAGTAAGCAGTTTAGTTTTCTGAGAAGCAAGACTGAGCACACGAAATAAATAACCTAAACTCTTAAGGGCTTTGTTGCATGTGAAATCAATACATTTGGACCATGGTAAATCATGTGCCATAAAGATAGTACCAAGGTACTTAAATTTAGACACTCTGCACAAACTAACACGATAATGTGTGGTGCATGTCCTGCAGTGTACTTATGCTGATGTGCATTATTGTACCCTACTTGTCTCAAGGTTAGTTAATCCAATATTTAAGGTTTAACGTCCCAAAACAATAACTTGATTATGAGGGATGCCGTAGTCAAGGGTTTCAGAAATTTTAATCACCTGGTGTTCTTGAACGTGTATTCTACCATTTTGCCTTCATCGATATGTAACAGCCATGGCTAGGACTGAATTGATGACCTTCAGGTCAGCAACCAAGTTCCTTAACCGTTACACCACTGTGGTAGACTTTAGTTGATACAGAAGGACTATAACAACGATGGCTACACACGCAACACTGCATTTGTAGCTCCTCTTAACCTCAGCCTTCTCACAGTTGCTGAATTAATTATGGCTAACAAATTAATGCTAACTACTCTTCGAAATTCCAATCTCAAGAAAGCTGGGACAAAGATAAGAGTAAAGCACATAGCACTTACTTGAGTGCTGTGAATGTACCGGAGGAGTTACGACGTAGAAAAGTGTTGAGGCCCTTCTCCGCACCATGCCGGTGACGCAACAAGAGCACACGTAAAACAGCACCATGGCTTTCTGGTGGTATCTGCTCCGTCAGCACCATGTTGTCAACAACCTAAGTATTGGAAATGAGAAGTCGGAACATAGTGAACATTGTTTGCAGGAGCTTTATGCAACTTTTGTGCATAAAATTTTCAGCATCATTTTTTCGAAAACATAATACCTTATCAATGGGAACTGTGCATCAACCTTTCAATGCTGCAGCCACTGCAATTAGTATGTTTTACAAACAGTGGTTTTATGACTTACATACTTTTCTTCATTAGTCAGTGAGTGTTGGATTCATTTATATAGGGGGTTTAACGTCCCAAAACCACCATATGATGAGAGACACTCAGTGAGTATTAGAAGCTGGTGGAAAAAACCATAGCAACGATTCATTTGAGACTTGAGAAGCACGGTTTCTCACACAGCATCACTCCACTAAAAGTACCTACACTGGGTATTTTTGCATAGACTGCCTGAAGTTTAAAAAAAATGAAGTATTCAAGATGAAACTGAAAATTTTTAGAAACCAAATTCCTGCAAGCATTGAACATTGTGAAACAGAATATAAAACCTAACCTTCTTCCTCATTACATACTTATCCACAGGAAAATGTGTAACTGGGAATCCACCTGGTTTCAAATGGTATTAACTGGTATTAACTGGTATCAGCTGGTCCCAGATAGGAACTAACTGGTCCCAGTTGATTCCAGTTGCTACTGGTTCCAGTTGGCAACTGGTACCAGTTACAACTCAAAGTTGATTTCTGTTGCAACGGGTTCCAGTTAACAGCTGGTCCCAGTTCCACCTCAACTGGCCATCAACAGGATGACCCGCAGCTATATTTTCTTGTTTAGACACCATCCTCTCTGCTTATTTATAATAATACAAATAATCTTACCTGACCTGATATGTATTTGTTATCATAGATCATTCTATTGTGCAAATTTAGAACACAATGCACTCAAACTACATTAAACTATGTTTAGACTACAAACTACATCCATTACATTCAGCTAATACTAAAAAGCTGTTGTCAATCATCCACGTCCGTCACGGCCCTATCGATCTCAGAATGTTAATATTGTTGTTGTTTCATTAGGAGCATGCCTGCTTTATAGTGTTGTATGCAGCACTGTGATTACTTCTGTGCAATGACGAAATATGAAGTAGAGCCGATAGCTACAATAGCAGTCACCGCCAACATGCTGCCGATACAAACACATTCTAACATGACAGCAGTCATCACAAACGCTCACACAGTGAGCATTGAAGCAGTAAGTAATGAAGCATAAATATTACACATAAAATAAATTGAAATGAATAATTCTGTTCTAATCACACAATATTTATAGCAGGAAAAAAACTGGATGACAAATACAGAAAATTTCGAATTCACAGCACAATATTGGTTTCATAGTTCATATGAGGTGAGCGCTAGCTACCGAGCAGTGGACGCACCGCTGAGTTGTGTTGTTCTTGAAAAGTAATGTGGAGTCATGGCATGCGTAAATTGCATTTTGTCGAATTGGTGTTTTTCATCTCTGGAAGACTAACTACAGGTGATCGTCAGGCAAGACTTGTTTTCGCCTGTGACAAGATGGATACACGGATCCAATCTATGTGGAATGTGTACACTGCCTGCCTTGTCTGCCATACAATTGTTTGAATGTAAGTATATCATCTATGTGCTTCGAGTTCTAGTTGTCTAGTATCCTAGAGAAGATGTAGATATAATGTGAGGCAGAATGTTTTGAGTGCTGAGACAATGAAAAATTTCATTGTAAGTAAATGTTTTTGGCCCTATTCTGTAAATTATTTGAGTATGGGTTTGTGCGGAGTGCTTGCTGTCTAAGAGTATCACAAACAAGTTCTGCACAATACTTGTATATTGAACAACATGTTAAATAACTATAAAGTACACGTAGCTTAGTCCGCGACAAGGAAAGCACGTCATGGAAAGCTGTTCTTATCATGCAAGTGAATATTCCCGAACCTGTCGCATATGTAGGCATGCATAGGCACTGTTTATGTGCAACCACAGTGCTGGTTCAAGTCAGCTTTACAGTAGCAATTGCTTATTAGGCAGTGTAACATTTTTTGTTATATTAATAAATCATGGTAATCATCTAAACTTAGCATGGAATTTGTTGGAGTGTTTGATGTGTTTATAATGAGAATTATTTACACATTCAAGATTATTTGAGCTAACTGGAGTGTATATATGTACATTTGGGCACCAATGAAGAATGGGGCCTGTTCTCAACTGGAATTTTTTCCCAACTGAAAATGCATTCTCAACTATAATGCATTCTCAACTGGAAATGTGTTCCTTAAACCACATGAACTAGACCCAGTTGAAACCAGTTGGATTTCCAGTGACAAATTTTCACCTCGATAGATATGCCCAATTTACCTATCCAATTAGAAGAACTACATGCCATCTGACAATCAAAATCTCTAGCCTGTTTTCATTTGAGGTGCACAAGAATGTACATGTACAAGAAATATCAGCCGGCAAAAACAGCAATATATGACAACCATGGTGAAAAAATATATTTCTTTCCTTGAGCACTGACATTTTGGCCTTTACAGAGGAGCCTTGCTTATCTTGGCCGGTGTCTATTTCTGTTTTTGGCATCTCTGAGCAAAAGAGATTTTGTCAAGCCCTCAACTTCAAATATCAACCATTCATGTTTCATGGTGTCTTTTAATCTACACCATTGAAGTCAAATAATATTCGTTATTTTCATGAGGTGGTTACAACTCATGGGATGCACTAACACAGATGAACTTTTCAAAACAAAAGTTATACCACTGGAAACTTGAGCCACACTTGTTTTGTTTTTTTATTAGAAGATAAACTACTACATTCCATTTTTTTTGTGTGCCCACTGTTGACAGTGGTGCCATTGGTTTATAATGCACATAACACCAAAATACATTTTGAAGGAAGTTGGTAAACAGATTATCACCAGGTATGAAGTGCACCACCTTTTTACATTCCATGTGACCTATCTGGCCCTCGTAACAAACATGTGAAATAATATTTAATAAAAAAGGTTTTTTTAAAGAATTAGTTTCCCCGGAAACATTCAAAAAGAAAAGCGCATCACACTTAAAACAAAATTCAGAAATTGTGACTGCACAAGAATGTTAGTTACATAACAGTAATCCTTCGCTTAAAGAAAAGCCTGACATGATAGTGTCAAGAGCTTTTAACAGACAACAAAAGCACGCTGCACTGCCACTTGCAGTCACCTCGTGCAGGACCACCTGTTAAAGTGCACGTTGAGAGTTTAGATTACAAAACGAAGCAGTGAGAAATCACCATTCATTAAAACTGTGCCACATGGTCGTTAAAGCATCATGAGTCACAAATAAAGCACCGAGGTGCCCGTTCATATCATTAAAAATGGTTTGAACGTGCGTTCTGTCACTACGGCTTCGCAAATAACCTAGTGTCTCTCTCTACTTGCAGACACCAATGTGCGGATTTTGCGGACGATGGCTCTTACAAATGCATAATGCAATGCAAACTCATTTGTCTAAATAAGTTAGTACCTAATGGGCATAAATCAGAAATGGGCTGCACACGTTCTGTCGCTCATAGAACCCATTTTGTGAACCCGTGTGCATGCGCCAGAGCATCGAGGAGATGCATCACATGCAGGGAATGCAGGGAAATGACTGCACGTTTACAGTTACTCACGGCAAACTCACACACGTAGGTGACCGCACCCAACAGTATCGACATAAAAACTGCAGCGACCGGGAGAACGCGCTACGCACAACAAATAACTTGAGAGTCAACCCCACTATGCTCGCCACTCATCTCTGTGGTTTTTGTAAGGCGACAGTGCCAAACAGAGCACACAGACTAGCTAGTAGAAGCAGCATGCTCGATGCACTGCAGCACATTTTTGCGGGGTCACGTATATTTACAACAATTAGGAAGAGATTATGGCGGCACCATGGGAGCCTTCGTCATTAGAAAAGTGCAAAGTAAAAAAAACGCGATTGGGTATGTCTTATTAGTTAACTCGGCCTTTTTTCCCCACTGAAGCCGAGGTTGGCACCAAAATTCTAGCTTTCGAGGCTGTTTTGGAGCAGTTCGGCACAATTTTCGTGATTTGTATGCTTTTGGAGCAGCTTGGTGCAACAAAACGGAAATGTATCGAAAATTCGCAATATGCACCAGAAATAGATATATCCAAGAAGCATAGGCGCGTACGCACATTCATGCCGAAACGAATCATGTGTGTCTGTCTCATCCCTGAATGGGTCTATGATAAATGACAGATGACGTAGGATCTATAGTGGTGATGTTGCAATGAAGTCATAAGCATGCAATGAGCCACGCTCACCACATTAGAACTCTGTATGTGAGGTGCATAGACCATTTTTACACTATCTTTTATTAGAGTAGAAGCTATGACTGTTGTAACTGAAGTGTTTTGCTGCAACATAGCTGTGAGCCCAACTATTTTTTTAGCTACTGCACTTGTGCTTGAGCTAACATAGAACGGCGCAAAGTGGCACACACCTCTCGATCTGTTCAGTTCTGTGCAGATTTTTCATGAAAGTATAATAGTGCAGCTTTGAAGCCAAATACAAAATAAAAGTTTACCTTGTTGGCAATGCCAGTGAGATCCTTCTCTTCAAGGTCAAGCAGCACAGTGCCTTGTTCAATGCACTTGCGCAGGCAAAGTAGTGAGTGGAAAGATAATGAGGCCAAGTGTGGCTTGCCCCAGCGATCCACATCCTCTTTCAGGTTTTCTTCATATTTGATCCAACGTGCAGTCTCTTTCCACTCGTATGTTTCCGGAACAAGCTCATCTAGCTCCACAAATATCTGTGCAAAATAATAGCACGCAAGAAAAGACGATACGATTTGAGGCTGTTGATATACCACTAAAAAGAAGCTCTTCAAAACATTGTTTCCTTAACTAGCACATCTGTAGTATGAATTGGCACTGTCTTCCATACATTAATGGTACAAAGAAACGCATGCAATTAATACAGGCCAGTGGCTAAACAACACTGGATGGACACAGGGGACTCACTGTTTTCAAGTGATTTACAATTGCACCAGTTCAAAGTCAATGCTATGCCTCTACTTCCTACTCCTGACAAAGCATTTCTATGCAATATTATCTTATTAAAACTTGTTCATGAATACCGTGACTTACTTCATGTGGCTTTCGATCATAGAGCTTTTTCATGAATGGAACAGAGTATCTTTTGCCAGAACCTGGTGGAGGTGCTTTTTCAGAAGATTCTTCAGATGCAGGCTGCATAAATGAAAGCACAGTGTTCTTTGCAAGAATTTTGTGCCGTCGCATGCCTTTCTGGTCTTCAAATCTATGGCCTGAAATGAAAAATAAGTTTGTAGTTGTGCATGTATAAAACCTACAATAGTTTAACAAGAGAAATTAGGAGATGAAAATGCTTTCTGGTTGGGGCTTGAAAGAGTGTAATAAATTTTATTGCAACACTGCAATCATTTAAAGACTACACAAGGAATTTGGATTAGTGTGAACAGTGATTTCTCCTGACCTGAGTGGTGTATGACTACTACAACACGCAGCCAACAAATGTTGACCAAACACAAAGAAAGTAGTACAACACAGCCCATATCACGTTATTTTTTTATGCCTTGTTCATAATCTGCTACAACAGAATATAACATTCCCTTTGGCCAGTACGTACCCTTAATTCAGAAAAGGCTACATTCTCCAAAATGAGCCCAAACTAAGCAGATACAATACGCACGAGTTTTACATATACTACAATGAACTAGGATAGCAACACCGGTTAATGCAAGGACAAATAAAACATAAGACTTCAGATAGATGCAATTTTAGCTATCTCGTGGCAACTAAAGTAAACACTGATCTTTCATATTTCTGTTGTAATAGGTGCATTGTGCTTACTTATAAAGGCATACAGACAAAAAAACTCATGCTTCCCTCTTTTTTATTATTATTAAGCACAGCAAATACCATTTTTTTAGTGCAGCCAGTTTAAATAACATGCAGAGTGCGCAATTAACTTTGGACATGAAACTAGCAGCAGCATCTGCAACCAAAACTGAAGATGAAGTCATGTTGGAGCCATAGGTCATTTATGTGCCTGCTCATCATGTCCTGTATAGCAGCTAAAGGTAGCAAAATCACAGTACCAGAAAGCTGGTAGTGCATTGCCTAATTAGCCCTACAATATCTTCCAGCTTTTGGCTTCTACTTGTTTGATATGGGCTGAGTGTGTTATCGCTACTGCGAGTTTTCTGACAACAGTTTAATCCATCATCTGGCCGTTCTATTTTTCAGTGAGTTACCAAATAAATGAACTGAAATTGTAATGCCATGGCAATGTGGCCATATTTGTCAGTGGTGTGTAGTAATGCATGGCTGCCACCTAAGGTCCTTGTGCAGTGTGCTGCCTCCCGCTTCATGTCCAAAGGTGCACGGTATCTGGCATATATTTCGGACTCTTCTCAACAAATTATGTTGTAAATCAACACTGCATGCTTGTGGAATTGATGCTATATAGTTTAATGAATTTTGACAGCTGTAACTTAAAGAAAAAGAAATATTTGGAGCAATGCTTCTCTAAATTTCAGGTCTTATTCTTTATAAAAAAAAATGAAGAAACTTTTCCGAAAATTGCTACAACTCAGAAAACTTCCGAGCAAAATTTTTGTCTGAAACACTGTCATTAATTTTTACCCATGTGTCTGTAGAAAGAAACAATAAGCTGAATATTGAGAACTTACTCGCCATCTCTTCAAGGTCAGCTGATTGTAAAGTCATGGCTTCTTCTGGCTCTGTGATAACCCTGTGTTTATCTTCAGCATCGTGGAGAACCATTAGGCTTGGATCATAGATGTACCGACGTCGCTTGTGCCTGTGATGATGGTGGTGATGCCTAGCACAAAAAAAAAGGAGGGATCATAATGCAATTTCAAATGTGCAAGCATTCTTCGGTGATGGAGGTGTGCAGTAAAAAGTGGTGTGGTTTTGTGTATGAGAGCATAACAAAAATAGCTGATGCAGAAGAGTAGGCCACAATGTTTTGCTGCAAAGAGTAACCATACCACAACCACACAGTTGGCATCAAACGAATGCAGGCAACTACAATTGTGACAAGCAACTAGATCATGCAGTAAGTGTGAAAAGAAAACAGCGCAACGCAGTGACCATAACAAGTGTTATACTGGCCATACTGCATGAGCAAGAATACAGTAGGCCACAATAATTTTGTTTCAACAAATTAACCAACAAAAGAAGAAAGAAAGAAAGAAGTAAAAGAATCAATCGAAAAAAAACTGCTGCATTGCATTTAGTAATGCTATCATGTGTGCACTACATGCACATCTGAAGCTGTAGAGCATTTTACACAGTTTTCAGATGTAGAAATGGGAGTGCTGTTCACTCAGCTAAGCTGTCATTACCTATCTTTTGCTCTATATTGTTCCAGTCCTTTTGACGTTGGCGCAGGCTGTAGGTCACCCAGTGAAGGCTGTGGTGGTGATGCCTCTTCCGTGGAGTCAGACCCTTTAAAAGAGACAAAGCTTTCTATGCACCTCAGTTAGGTGAAGCTACGATGCTAAATAATATATACATCCACACAACACACAAATAACACACACACACACATAAGCAGCGATTTCGTCTTCTTAATAAAGTTTGAAAAATACAGTGTTCTTAAAGGATGTTTAAAAATACATAACATGCAAAGAATTCGATAATATATAAGTGACTTCTACTTTACTTCTATTTGTGCTACAAAGAAAGCTATTTGTAATATTAGAGCTTGCAACGCTGGTAGCATGGTGGCGAATTTTCGAAAACACAGGCTTTGTAAAATGGCTGTCGTCACCTGGTAATAATTCTCAATTTTTTATACATTTAAATATTTTATTTGAAAACAAATTGTGACTTGAAGCAATTCAGTCATGTGGGCATGATATACAAAATCATCAAGAAAATAAGAGAAGCAAAATATTAAATGTTTTGCCATCTTTCATGGAACCGACTTGTTAAATTCCATCTGGCCTCGCAGTGGAAATTCCAATGCAAGCGCACACAGCCCTCACGCTACAGTGGAAAGTACAATTAATATTTTGCTCACACACATCTATGGCAACTGTGCTCATAAAAAATTGCGAGAACAAGCTATGCCTTTTTTCAACTTGGTGATGTCTTGACCATTGGTCTTTTTACTGGTCAAGAAATAACTTGAAGCCCTTCTGATGGCATTCAATATGGCGTGTCCACGCCCAGAAATATATGCTTGACACTAAAGCAGCAGCCTACATTGAAGAAATTTTAAAAAATTTCAAAATAATGTCATCATGAGATATGCTTTAAAAATATGATGAAATATGATCAGCAAGAAAATTTGCAAAAAGGCTTCGAGGCATATCTTATGCAGCACAGCAAACAAGGAATAGTTAGCCAGAGTGCTGACCAACCTGAATGTATGTTACACTAGCAAAGCAAATGTCACAGCAAAAGTTAGCACCATGAGCAGCTATGTTATGGTCCCAGTGCTTTCTTATTGAGCAAAGACCTCCCAGCAACAGAAAACTCAAAACAGATAATTAATTACCCAAAATAAAAGCAACTTTGTGCTGTCCTCCATCAGATTCATTTTGCTCTTGCGAAGAATCTCGGACAGTTGATGATAAGGGGACGTCGGCATACTGCTTTCCATAATCTGCAGTTCGTGTGTCCAGGTTTGGAAAGAAGCTGCACATCATTACAAGAAGAAAAAATCATTACAGAAGCCGGTATAACTATAGAGTTGGAAATTTATAGAACAAAAAAATTGTCACCACTCAAAGCATATAAAAGTAAATGGCAATTAAAAATTTAAGTTGGGCAATAATTGATAGACCTACCAAAAGAGAGTAGGAAGCCAGCAGACCTTAAATAAAATTAAAGGAGACAATGCAGTAAAGCAACAGCCTGGTGAGCTAACATAAATTGGTTTGTAGAGCAAAGATCTCTGTGAAGAGTGCTTTAACTATGCAAGAGACTTTATAACTTAAAGAAAAAGGAGAAGGCGAGTCATAATTCAGAGACTTTTTAACAGACATCAAATTGACCGTCAGCACAAATGAAAAAACGTACAACAAATGATGCTCATTTCTCCAGTTTTAATGAAGAACCAAACATCAACAAGGCTGTGTATAGAAGGCTTACAAACCTTTTGCTTTACTTTTTTCAAGGCAACACACTATTTGCACCTAGAAAAAGTACTTGTTCACAAAAGTGGCAAGACACCTGGGTACAAAATTAGCAGATACTACATAATCCGATCTTAGAATCGACGCAGGTGGTGGCTCGCTGCCATTAGAAGAGAATGCACAATAAGGCTGAAACTTGTAAGAAATGAAACAATTTTCAGGCATTCAAAAGGATGCATGCTTACAGAATTCATGCATTGATTCATTGCACAAATTAATGAATGCCTTCACAGTATAAATTATTTATTTATATCATAAGCATTCTAAACTCAATTCAGTTATACAATTTTCCAGAGCATATGTCTCATGAAAGCTTGGTATAGAAAATTCAACAAGCCATGAACCTTACTTAATGGTTTACATGCTATAATATTGATAATAACTTGTGGACAGATGCTATTTACACTTAATTGTCAAGAGGATGGCTTCACCTTGTGACATGCTTAGTTAGCATGCCCACTACTTGTTAAGCATATGGTGGAATCATGATGTTCTTACATGGATCAAAGAGTTACTGACAAATCATAACAATGCAATGTTTGTTCAAAAGCATCAGCTCTAGTTAACTCATTGACTTAAGGAGACTTGAAAGGAATTTTATCTCAGGCCCCTTTTGCTCCTGATACACATTTAGAATCTGCTTCTAACAGTATCTTAACATGTCCAGAAAACGAATGAATAAATAAATAAATTTCAATAAATAAATAAGCCCAATTGAAACCAAAATCTTTTTGCCAGAGCTCCAGTTCAGCATGATGCAGCTAGATTCGCTTATTCCACAATTATTAATAAACGTTAGCATTTCATCATTAAAGGCACAATCAAACTTAACAGTGCTCAGAATTGCACTGTCATGCTGTCACAGCGCAAAATAATGTTTTTCCCGTGTTTTTTTTTTTTTTTGCGACTGCCCACTTCTAAGGAAGAGGCAAAATTAGGCCTGGGCTCTTTGTATAATCGATGGCCATCACAATAATAATTATCATAAGAACACACTTTTAATCAATGCTATATTTTATACATATGGCAGATATTCAAAAATTACTTCCAAAGCTTCTTGGGTAACAACTGTAACAGTTTTCATTGTAGCCTCATGATACTATTGGGTGGTTGCAAACTTCTTCCTTTCATGAAGCTCTCTTAATCTAGTGATAAATGAGGGGCAAGTTTCCAGCAAGAAATCTTAATGAGGCATTGCCTTTGATATGCTTCACTGTGAAGCATGATGACGTGAACACCACACATCTAAATTACCGATCTTACAACTGGATAGCACATGATTATGATGATCACAGCTTATCATCAATCATTCAAGTGGAGGCCACTACTATAATATATATGCAGTCAATCTGATTGCCATTTTTTTCTTTAATGTGGGACGAGAACTCTTTGTATAATATTATGCAAAATAATTATTTGCAGCTTGAAAGAGAAACTTCACACAACTGAAAGTATTCTCAACGACTTATGAGGTAATATTTGCTGCTCATTGTAATGGGAACACATCAATAAATCTATCTAAAATAATTAAAGATTAAGAGTAAGCCAACAAGCACCACCAATAACACAGCACAGCAATAGCCCTTGCTCAAGAGAAAAAAGCTCACCCATAACTCCCTAATGGCTGATCATCAGGTGAAATGGACGACTTCTTCAAGGATGACTTCAATGGTTTCTCAGTCAGAGACACATCAGAAGCACGTGGCTTTAATTTAGCTGGTAGAAATTCAACCTCTGGCTCCGTATCATTTGTGACAAAAATGCGAGGTGGTTCACGGACACCAATGGTTTTTTTATCTTTTGCAGGCGTGCCATGTCTCGGGCCACTTGGACCTGGTACATCTTGTGCGGCATCAGTGGGCTGCTTTGCCTTTTTGCTATTGCTATCTTCGTAGTCATCAACCTGCTCCACATCAGAGCTCCCTTCAGCATCCTCTTCAGAGTCCTGCTGACCAAAAACATTCAGAGAAGAAAATTTTGGATTGAAGGTCGTGCATAAACTTCTTTATCAGAAAAAAAAAAATAGCTGAGAGCCAATACCAATGATAATAATAATAATATTTGGGGTGTTACATCCAAAAACTACAATATAAATATGAAAGATGCCGTAGCGGAGGGCTCCAGAACTTTTGAACATCTGGTGTTCTTTTAGATACACTGACATTGATCACACAGTACATGGGCGTCTATTATTTCATTTCCTCAAAATGCAACCACCGCGGCTGAGATCAAACCCGCCACCTTCAGGTCAGCAGCTGAACACTTTAGCCACTGCTCTACCGCGGCCAATTGGAAAGCTGAAACTAGTGTTCAACAGTGATAAGAGGCGCCATTCTCTTGTCAACACTCAAACATTACAAAGATGTGCTCCATAGCAGCAAACTGATCAGCACTGTCAAAGCTAGACCTAGAGTCATTCCATTAGGATAGCCACTCTCATGAAATATTTTGCAGTCTTCCTAGACAGGAATAAATTAAAAAGCTACGCAAAAAAATCTGTAACAATAAGTCAATGTATCTCAGTTCAATAAATCATTTACAATGACCATACCTGCAAACCTGTGAACATTCCTCATCATCAGCCTGACTACACCCACTGCAGGGCAAAGGCCTCCCTCATGATTTGCTAATCAAACCGGTCTTGTACTTTCCTTTACCACCTGCGAACCTTTAAATCTCATCGGCCCACCTAACTTTCTGTCTCCCCTTCGCGTGTTTGCCTTCTCAAGGAATCCAGTCAGTTACCCTTAATGACCAGAAGTTATCCTGCCTAAGTGCTACACGACCGGCCCATGTCCATTTCTTCTTCTTGATTTCAAGTATGATATCCTTAACCCCGGTTTGTTCCTTGCCCCACTCTGCGCTCTTCTTGTCTCTTAAGGTTAGACCTATCACTTTCCTTTCCATTGCTCGCTGCGTCATCCTCAATTTAAGCTGAACCCTCTTTGTAAGCCTCTAGATTTCTGCTCCATAGGTGCCTCCAGGTTTCTGCACCATAGTTAAGCACTGGTAAGGTGCAGCTGTTGTATACGTTCCTCTTGAGGGTTAGTGATAGACTATCATGCATGATTTGAGAATGTTTGTTGAATGTGATCTACTTCATCCTTATTCTTCTAGTTATTTCACTCTCATGGTTTAGCTCTGTGGTAACTACCTGTCCTAAGTAGACATGATCCTTTACAACTTCCAGTGTCTCCCCACCTATCGCAAAGCACTGTTTTCTGCCGAGACTGTTGCTGCACATAACTTTGGCTTTGTGCATATTATTTTCAAACTTAATTTTATGCTTTCCATGTCCAAAGCACTTGCCCCCTCTTATACTTTGGTGTAGAAGAAGTGGCAGAGCTAGCGGCGTCAGATGAACCCGAGCACGTTGCACACTACATGCTACATCAAACAGTCATTAGTGCAGATGGACTGACAACGAAAGTGAGAATAGTGTCTGACGCTTTGTCATCAAATTGCACCAGGAATGTCTGTGAATGAAAACCTAGAAGCTGCAGAAAACTTGAATCTAGATATACTTGTACTGATAACGAACTTTCACAAACACTCAGTTACAATAATGGCAGACGTGGAAAAGGCATTCATACCAGTATTCACAAAGAAGATAGAGACACCTTTCATTTTTTGTGGTGGAAGAATGAACAGTGTGACCTAACTAAGGAGAACATAGCTGGATGGAGGATTTGGCACACCGCCAAGCAGTTCCTTGTTAGCAGCAACAATACAGCATCACCTGAATCAAGAACAGCAAAACTTTCCCGAAACGGTGAATAAACTTCGGAATTCAATTTCCGTTGATAACGTCATGCTCGGAGCAATGCACAAAAATGAAGCAAAGGGTTTATACAAGGGCGCAAAGGAAATTTTTCCCCGAGCCGGAATGAGCGTAGGGAAATGGACATCAAACAGTGAAGAGATGAGGGAACATTTTTCTGAGAATCAAGACGCCGTTGCTACATCAAGTGAAACCAACGTTCTAAGAATGACATGGAACACGGATGACGATACTTTGGTCTATCCTGTGAAAAAATGAATTACAGCAGAAATGAGTGAAAAGCTGACCAAGCGAGCAGTGTTTCAAGAAATTGAAAGCGAGCAGTGTTTCAAGACAAAGGGTGTTTAACGTTCCAGTGTTTCAAGAAAGTGCAAAGATATTCGATTCATAGGGTTTTCTAACACCTGTCACATTAAGAGCAAAAATAGCTATACAAAAGCTCTGGAAGACTAAAATTTCTTGGGGTGATCCTTTACCAGATCAAGATGAGAAGAAATGAAGGAAATGGTTGGAGGAAATTAAATAAGTTGAAAATATAAGCACCACGGCAGTGCATTCACAAATAAGAAACAGCATTTGAACACCGAATTGCACATTTTCTCCGATGCAACCCCTGCGACATATGGAAGTGCAGCTTCAATGGTGCAGTGTATGTAAGTGGAGCCTAGAGCCCGAGTGAGTCCAAAGCACAAAATAAATTTCTTGGGTGAGTCTGAGCGAGTGCCCATCTCTTTTGCCAACTTTAGGTCATACCTAGTCACCTTCAGCATCGCTATCAGCCTTACCTATATTTACTCAAGAGGTATTCAAGCAGTGTCGTTCATACACTGTTCTAATATTTATTAATTAGAGGCATGAGTTACGTAGGAGGATGCCTTGACCTCCCCCCCCCCCCCAAACTATTCCAGAGAAGTTCTTGATTATTATTTATTATATCTTCTGCTGTCACCTCTTCCAAGAAAAATGGCTTTACTGGTTTGGAAGCAGTCAGAACTCGTTTTTGAAGATACTAGTATGTCAAACGGCACCAAGAAGAGAACCGGTTACATGAGATATTGGTTTGAAAGAGCACTGACGGCACCGTCAAAGAACCCAATTCAAGGCTGACAGACTCATGAGTCTACTCACTCAGACTCGGATCGAATCGCGAGTCTGAGTGAGTCCGGGTGAGTAAAGTTTTGGCGAGTTCGAGACTGGGTGAGTCTGGTTGAAGAAATATTTTCTGAGTGTAAGTTCGAGTGAGTCGGCTTCGAAAAAATTTTCACGAGTCTGAGTTCGAGTGAGTCCAAAGCTCAAAACACATTTCACGAGTGAGTCTGAGTGAGCTCCACAAGTTTTGCCGACCTATGGACTCCTACAAGAACAGAGACAAAGAGACAGTGATGATTCTCGTAAAAAGTGGTGTTTCTCCAATGAAAGCAATCATTCTAGCAATATTGGAACTTCTAGAAGCAACACTATCTGCGAAATTGCACAATTACATCAAAAGTAACTTGAAACAAGAAATTTACCAGGTGAAGTTTTGGACCGATGCTACAATTGTATAAACAGGATAAGAAAAAACTAAGGCGTGAAGCATTCATTCAACACCAACTACAAGAAATAAGAAATTTATCAGTGGAGAATCAATGGGAATATGTGAGCAGTAATGACGATTTGGCGGTTCTTCTAACCAGAGGCATCACTGTGGAACAACTCTCATCAGCAGCAATTTGGGGAAACGGACTAGAATGGTTATAGAACAAAGGCTATCCAAGTTACAAGGAGCAAGGTGGTAATGAAGAAGCAAGGGAAGTTGAAATAATTATTGAATATACAATAGAAAAAGGCCCATAACGAGGAATTGGAATTGAAAAGTTTGGATATTGCTCAAAGATGTTGAGGGTAACAGCTTGGATGCTTCACTTCCCCACCAATGTTCAACAATACAAAATCTGCGATCCACTAACAGCTGAAGAGATCGAGGCTGCGGAGACCCGTATTATTTGGCAACAGCAAAATGTGAGCTTGCCAATGAACTGAATAAAGTCAGCACACATGAGACAATAAAGTCGGCGCACATGAGACAATAAGATGTGAGGTGTTCACAGACAAAGAAGACATACTGCGACTGAAAGGATAACTTCAAGAGACAAGTATGACATTCAACAAAAAGCATCTGATAGTACTTCCCGGCAAAAATCATTTAATAAGGCTACTGATTAGACATGTGCATGGAGAGACATTTCACAACAGAGTGTGAGACACACTAGCCTGTTTAAGAACGAAGTTATGAGTAATTAGAGGACGACAAAAAGTAAAAGATGTCATGAGAACATGCTTTATATGCAGAAAGTACGATTCCGGACAACTCGGACAAGAGATACCTAGTCTACCTGCCGACCGAGTAACAAGGACTGCATCTTTTGAAACAGTTGGAATAAACTTCACAGGTCCTCTGCAAGCAGCCAAAACAAAGAGAGATATAATGAAGGTTTGCATAATAATCCTTACATACGCAGTTACAAGAGCTGTGCACTCTGAAACAGCTAAAGGCACTTCAGCTGAAAGTTTTCAACAAGCTTTTTGATGCTTAATTGCAAAAAGAGAGATGTGCTCAGTCCCCTACAGTGACAATGCGAAGGTTTTCAAGAAAGCTAACAAAGAATTGAACCTACTAGTCGCGATGCTACGAAGTGAGACAACAATTTTCATTGTGAATCGACATATCAAGTGGAAATTCACTCCCGAAAATGCACTATGACTGGGTGGCTTTTATGAACGGCTAATACGCAGCTTGAAGTCATCTGTGCAAAAGGTGATTGGTCGGCATTTACTCCATATCAATGAGATGCATAACCTAGTTTGTAAAGTTGAAGGCATCATGAATAACCAATCACTTACGTACACTTACGATGTACCTGACGAGCCCACTTTTTTTACCCCATCTGATCTGATTGGCAGAAAGTAAAAGATTGAAGCAGACAAATGACGAGTGGGACCACAACCTACAACGGGTGTGGAGACTTCGCAAAAAAGTTACTAAAGTATGGTGGCAACAATGTAACTCTGAGTATATGAAAGAAATAAGGAGTGTATTAATGGAACCCACAATGAGAAGTAATCATGAGAAACTTAAAAAAGATGACATCATTTTATTAGAAGAAAGAAATCCAAGAGCTTTTTGGAAAATATGCTTGGTAAATGACATTTAACCAGGCCGAGACCAACTCTCAAGAGTCTATGTTTTGAAGAATCTTGACAATAACCTACTAGAAAGACCTGCGAGGTTGGTTTATCCACTAGGAGAATGCTTATAGGTGCAGACATTTGAGGCCCCGGGATGATAAAGAACCAGAAAGACAAAGGAGAAGACGACAAAGAATTAGAGAAAAAAAAAAGAAGACATATCATCACCATGTTATTCACGATCTAATTGTCTAAATAAACAGTTCTAATCGACGTGGCTCTTCAATATGTTCAATGATTTACAGCACTAGAATGGGATAGTGTGCCGTCTTAACAGCAAAGCCCACGAGAGAGAAATGGTCCTCTTTGCAATGACACCACAAGTAGGGCGCCACGATCGAACGGAGTGTTCGGCAAGTGTAATTTAAATGTGCATTGCGGAACTTTCTGCAATTTCCTAGAAAAAGAGTCACATCACACGATTCAAACTAGAAGTATCTGCAAGTATAAAAGACATATAACACATCTTTATGCATTAATGATATGAATAAAGCTCCTTTTGCCTTGTGTGAGCTTGTGCAATTCCTATCGCAGAACAGGGACCCAGATCGTCAGCTTTCTTACTGTTTTGATTGTAGAAGGCATAAAAAAGCACTTCACTGTTTATTTCCTACTTATGTACGCCTGCGTAGCTGTCATACAAACTTGAAGTTATGCAAAGAAACAAACGAAAGGGTCTGTCTGGATGGATAATATGAACACCATCAGGTGAGTTCCACGACCACCCCTCTCCAGCATTAGGCAGGAGAGTAATGGGAATGCAATAAAAGAGGTAACTCTCAATGACAAATGCTGCTTCATTTGTTCACACGTTTTACTCCTGAAAAAGACACCACAGAACAGGAATTTAGCTAAATGCACTGCAATGTTTTCGGGTTGCTGTATTTATCCAATGAGAAAATACCCTTAATTCCTATCAGACTGCAAAAACTAGAATGCATCAGGCTTCCTCAAACACCAAGTGTGTCATGCAGATGAAAAAAATCTCAAATGCTTCATACAATAAACGAGTTTTCTAGGTACATGCACGACCAGAGCAGCAACTAAAGCTACAGATCTTGGTGGCTTTGTATCTCACCTACTCACACATTACTTCAGGGGGCGGTGAAAGGTCGCGACACAGTAGTACGGTGTGCTCAGGCAGCATTGGCCGTCATCACAAAAAGAGCCAAGTTTTCAGTGCCAGACAGCACACTACCCCATTCCAGCACAGCATACTCAAACTACACCAATGCTCTTCACCTTCCCCCAGCCACCATGGAACAAGAGTTCAACCTCCCCCCCCCCCCCCCCCCCAAAAAAACAAAATTTTGACAACACCCACGGTCAAGTCAAAATTACATGCTTAACAATGAAGGTAAAAAATGAAAATTAAATGATGCCATACTTCTCACAATGGCCTGCATTTGATCGATCGGCTTTCCGGCAGAGGAGTGCAAACTCAGAGGCCCTCGGACGCCATTATTGTCAAAAATCAACATGGCCACAATGCTGCTCTTTAAACAATATCGCGAAAGGTGTCCTTGGGGTGGGGGGACAAGGAAGCTGCCCCCCTTCCCCCAACTCACTCCCGCGCACGCCTGTGATGGCATTCATTACTTCGTGCCTTTAAGGCAGAACTGACATTTTTGGTAACATATTTTAATAGACAAAATAAGCGTTCCAACTATTGTGAACCACACTCGCTCACATTTATGTTGAAAAAATTCCCCACGATGTCAGAATTCTGTGTCGGCAGACACTCACCTTGCTGCTCTGGCTGGGCTCTTTCGCTTCGGCAACAGCGGGAAGATCCGCAGGATCCTGATTCCCTGAAATGCTGGGTATAGAGCTTCTCCGGCGATGGTAATGGTGTTTCTTTAGCGGTTGATGGTGATGAGGAAAGCCGGCACCCCTGTGCACTGTAAATGAAAGCGTGCACAGATGTCAATTTTGCAAAAAATATATGTTTATTAAAAGGGTTTTTAAAAACACTTTTAAAACAAGAAAAAGGAATACTAGTGTCACTAATAATGCTTTGAAACCAAATGGCCAAGTCACAAAAACTAAACCCACAAGTTAATGTTTCTACCCAAATTTAAACAAGAAAAGGGGCATCAGACGTACTTTTGAAGTATTGCAACATAGTTGCAAACAAGGCAAACCATGCAAACAAGAACTGTCAGGTACAACTTCAGAAGGCAGCAATATTAATTATTCCTCTTCATAGGCGGATGAGTCTGCACCAGCAGGCGCTGGTCGCCACCTTCCGGCTCATGAGTGAGACTCTTTCTTCAGCCGCGGAGGCAATCGGCGGTTGTAGTCTGGTAAACTGGACGAGGCCTCTACCGCCTTTTTAAGTTGTATCCCACTGGATACACTCGGCCAGAATATTGCACGGTAAGACATACAGTCACACCGGCATATATCAAACTCGAAAAAAAAAAAACTTCATATACAACTTTAATAGAATTACTTTAATTTCCGTTCCAATTTTTTTGCTTCACGGCAATGTTGAAAATAACATAAGGTAAATACTTTCACCGTTCATGCGGCAACACACACACTTTTTTAAAAATGTATTTTTTCGCGGTCTGTAGTTGGGGATGCGAGACGATATGCATGAGTGGATTATACGCGAAAAAATTTATCTATGTAAATGGTGCCTCAAAACCTTCATAAGCAGTTGTCCCTATAAGTGTCGGGCACCGGAGAGAATGTAGTTCACTTGCCCACGTCCCTTCTGTTTCACAGTTAAACCTGCTTATAACGAACCTCCGTATAATGAAGTTTTTCTATTCCCCGCCATTACTTCATAGAAGCCCACATATTTGCGACCACTATGTAACAAAGTAATAGCAGGAGACATCCTCGATATAACAAATTTTTGCCATGGCCAGTCTAGCAATTTCGCCCCGCATTTTGTCCCTTTAAATTTGGCACGAGCATGCATCTTCCGCAGTAGCCCCACCGCCGACAAAGCGCGATGAATATTTTAGACGGTGTTGGCTCATCACCCCGGCGACTCTTAGGTGAGAGCTAGCGCTAGGCGGGCAGGCGGGACTTCTTGCCTGCTGTAAGCGCTTGCGCGGATGTGCCCTCCCGCTCCTCCAAAAAAAAAAAAAAAAAATTGGCACCGTATCTGCATCTTACACTGCAAATGTTGTCGAAAGACAACAGTCTATATTGCCTCTAGAGAGAGTGAACAAAATGTTTATTTGGTGTTCTGGGCAAGAAAATCAGTGATTGGTATTCTGGAGGTGCTGCGTTAGAGTGCCTCAAGCGTGCAGCGGAGGCAATTGAGCGCATAAAGTAATGTCACACGTGAGACGCGAGCGTCATCTGCCAATTATCTTGAAAAACGAAGCGCGCGCGCCCTGCGCGCCCGTCTCGGAGGTGATAAGGTGTAGAACGCAAGGCGACAGGTAGGTGCCACCACCGTTTGATTTGCCGGGTTTAACGCCCCAAAACCAGCATATAATTATGAGACACGCCGTAGTGGAGGGCTCGGGAAATTTTGACCTCCTGGGGTTCTTCAACATGCACCCAAATCTGAATACACGGGCCTACAACATTTCCGCCTCCATCAGAAATGTAGCCGCCACAGCCGGCATTCAATCCCGTGACCTGTGGGTCAGCAGCCGAGTACCTTAGCCACTAGACCACCGTGGCGGGGCTAAGTGCCACCACAGTGTCGTCTTAGCAAAGCGTTGTAAACACTTGCCTTTTCGTGCAAGCGTTGCATGGTCAGTGCAACGTGATAAACACTATGGTCCTTAGAATTATGTATGCCTTTTCTAGTAAGAGACACGCATACAGAATATTGACGTGTTGTTATGGTTCCTCAGATATGCGCAATAATTGCTTTTTAATTGACAATCGCACAAGTATGAACGCTGAATCTTGATTGATATGTGGGGTTTAATGTCCCAAAACCACCATATAATTATGAGATTGATTGATTGATATGTGGGGTTTAATGTCCCAAAACCACTATATGATTATGAGAGACGCCGTAGTGGAGGGCTCCGGAAATTTTGACCTCCTGGGTTTCTTCAACGTGAACCCAAATCTGAAATGCTGAATATTGAGCAATATTGGTGGGTGCTGCGGACGGGGTCGGCCGTTTGGAGTATCGTTCGGCCACTTTGGTACTGTTCAGGGTACCGTTAAGGGCGAGCGGGCGGGCGGGCGGGCAGACGGATGGACGGACAGACAGACCAAAATTTTTGCGTCGAAGGTCCCCAAGAAAGCCTACAGTCTTTGAAAATGAAAAAGAAAAAAAAGCTACTTTTGTGTTGGTGGTGCCACGCTTTAAGTTATCGTCACATATGTGGGGCAGCGCTGCATATAGAGAGCGTTTTACCGAATAGTTTTCCGCGGTAGCAGTATCGTTCGCTCATCGTTTTCGACGCCGTGTGCAAGTAAATGGTTTCACTGCGCATGCATGGTGTGACTACCGACGACGGTCAGCTTCTCTTCTTTTTTTTAAATGCAGACAACCGTGTCGTCACTATAGATGGGATGTCAGATTAGGCACTCATGGAAACTCTCCGAGGCCACGGTGACGACGGATCTTCGGAGGTCGACTCGTCACGCGCTTCCATTTTGCGCCGCGAGTTCGCGGGACCGTAGCCTAAGAGTGCTCACGCACTCTTATCCACTCGTGAAAGTTACGATGCTCGAGGGCATGTTATCAGTTTGGACTTGTTACGGCGGCGAAGGCAAATACCCACCGATGTTCAATTTGAGCGTTTCATTCTTGAATTTTTGTAACGAACCTGCATATAACGAAATCCTCGTTATAACAAACTTTCCCGGAAATTTGTCAATTTCGTTATATCCAAGCTTAACTGTACTCAGTCTTAACCATTTTCAAGTTGTTTTTAATCATGCTACCTGACCAACAAGCCCAACTTTCAATACTACTGCACCACACAGGTATAGTCCACCTTGGCCCTAATGTTGGCTTTCACTGTTTAATGATTTCATGCCCATTCTGCGTTGCCCCAGCCACAGAAGTAATGCTCGATCACCAATTGGGAACCTGTCTGGGCATAGAGTTTATGCCAGGCTCGCACTCGCCACTTAAGCAGCCTTCACCACCACCCCGGCCGACCACATGACTTGACGAGCTGGACGCACGGTCCACTGCATCGACCTCTCCTGGCCTTCATACAGAAAACATAACTTTTCCTTTTTTATTTAACTTGTACCATAGGGCATATTGGCGCCAATAAAAAAAAGACACAGTTTCGCCAAAAGGGCGCAGCAATGGCATAAACATATAAACCTAATCTGCTCGAAAGCGCTCCGAAAATTGGGCTTCTTGAAGCGAACGTTAAAAGATGCAACTCACGAATGCAAACTAACAGCATACAAATCCCTGATACGGCCTGTTCTTGAATACGCCTCCGTTGTCTGGTCACCTCACTGCGCATGCGACATAGCACACTTGGAAGGTGTTCAAAAAAAAGCAATAAGATTCATATATCACCGTTATGATCACAATTTTTCGCCTTCGTCACACGCTGTACGTCTATCACTCAAATCACTTGAACACAGACGTACTTGCGAGCGTATCGGCACTTTACATAAAATCGTGAACAAGATAATCACCATTGACATGCCCTTTTCCTTTGCCAACTCCGTTGCAAACACTCGCAGGTCAAACCCCATTAACATCACACCCTTCATGCCAGTTCTAGATTGTTTTAAGTTTTCATTTTTTTCCTTTCACAGTGGAATTGTGGAATAATCTGGATATTTCTCTCCGAAAGTTGCCTACCAATAGTTTTTTGAATGAACTACCAAACCATGTGTTTTGTTAGTTTAGTGTGTATTCACTGTTATGGACCCACTCCTGCAATGTCTCGAACTGTGAGACAGCAGTATTTGTAAATAAAAAAAAAATACATGCGATAGCAAAATATTCTAACGTTTCACAAAGCAAGGCTAGCATCCGATCTAACGAAACTCTACATAACGCTAGCGTAAAGATGCGTTTACACTAGAGTCACGACACTGACAAAACCCCGACGAAGACAGGAGGCGGACGCAGGCCATCGCCTTCGCCCGCCGACGAAGTCGCCAGACCCCATGGTCCCACTAGGCTGACGACGCCTCAAAAGAAAGCATGTCGTCGTAGTGTAACATAATGGCGGACCGAAAACACCAACAAAACGAATCGGCAGATCTGCCGTCGGCGTATCGTCGGGAGATCTGTGGCTGCAGGCGAAAATTTGCCCGCATGACTTTAGGGAGTTTTAGGGCTGGGTACCCAAGCGGCTTGCGTACCCAGGACGTTGAGGCGGCGGTATTGCGCATGCGCGAAACTCCAAACAAATGCATCACAAGATCGCTGGGGAGATGGGGCCATGCGTCCACGCGGCCATAAACAACGCTGCCACACTGGCCTCCTAGTGGAGATAAATTGCTCTGCAGCGCATCATGTTACCTTCACGACGAGCAAAGCCAAGAGCTGGCCAGAGCTCTTCATTTCATTTTCACCTCAAAAACAATACGCGTAAGCCTACATGTTCATGACTGTGGTTGCACGAAGTGTCACAAGATGTCGACACTATCGTTACAGCAACCTTGTATTTTTCACTTTTTTGCGATAAAAAAAGTCATGATTTTGCCGCAACGATGATTCATTCCTATGCAAGTTAAATACAGTTAGCACGAAGGGGGGAATCTTGGGGGAGTTAACAATGCCCCCCCTCCTGAGGCTTCCATGGCGTTTCAATAGGCATCTTGGGCACCCAGGGAAGTCTTTTCTTCACTTCCCTTTTGTGTATCCCCACTTCCGTCGTCCCTCGACGCCGTGCGGGGCGGCTGCGCCGCCTAGCCGGAGAGGGACAATGGCAGAGCAGGGAGCATGGCTGAAAATGAGGTGCAGGTGTGCAATTTTAGTTGTCGC